TAGACATTACCAATCCAATGTTCCTCTTATTTCTTTATGGACTTGGATGTAGGTGTGTTTGCATCTAAATATTACAGAAGAACTGCTTGATTTCTTAACTTTCAGGCCAAAATTTATATATATTTTAACTGTTTTTTAATATTTGTATTCTATGTTTTTATCTTGGCTGTACACCGCCCTGAGTCCTCAGGGAGAAGGGCGGTATATAAATTGGAAATTAAATTAAATTAAAAATTAAATTATTCAAGATGGGTCAGACTATTTGATTTAGAATGATGATCTTTGAATAGTAGTGGTATGTAGCCCTATGACTAACTCTGTGTACTTAAAAACATGGCCATTGGCAATTTTACAATTCTGTGCTGTTATTTCTATTTCTTACTAAGCAAAATAAGTACTTTGGTACTATGGGTGTATGTACATATATGTGTGTGTGTATGCATATATACACATACAGTATATAAAATCTAATTAGTATATTGCCGTGATGGCAAATCTATGGCATGCATGCCATAGGTGGCACACAGAGTCCTCTCTGCAGGCACGCAAGCCGTCGCCCAGCTCAGCTCCACCCCACATGCACATGCACCTACCGGCCAGCTGATTTTCGGCTCTCTGCCGCACATGTGGGGGGGGGCAGGGTGCATGTGGGAGACATGCACAGATGCCTGGGGGTGGGGGTGGTCGTGCGTACATGCATGGTGGGTGAGGGGTCGCACGCGCATGTGTGGCGGTGGGGGAGAGCGTGGGGGGGTTGAAGCCCCCCACGGCCCATTTTGGGCCTAGCAGGCCTCCCTGCAGCCTCCTGGGACCAAAAATGGGCCGTGGGAGGGTCCCGTGCGCATGCGTGGGGTCGCATGCTCAGGGGGGAGAGTGCGGGGGTCACACATGTATGTGTGGGGGGCAGGGCGTGGGTGTGTGTGGCGTACACATTGCATTATGGGGGCAGGCTTTCGGCACGCGACGACAAAAAGGTTAGCCATCACTGGTATATTGGTTTAAAGATCAAACCAGCAGATGATTTGGAAAGCTGTATTTTAGGAATAAATTATATAGCTTTATAATAATCTGGAGTAGTGGTACATTTCTATGATATCTATATTTGCAACATTTTCTATAACCCCCAGCTGTATTTTAGTCTCAAAATAAATGCAGAGAAGTGAGGAATCTCTGGTCTCCCTTTCATCTCTGCTATAAATGATTTTATTCTACTTACTTAAGTTTAGTGAGTGATCAAAGTTATGGCACAGAGAAAAGGGATTTTGATTGTCACCGAAAAACCCAGGTGCTTGGCCACCGACATAGATTTCAGTGTCTCTGGGTCATGACTGCCATTTTCAACCTTCTCAATCAGCTTTTGACAAGCAAAGCCAATGGAAGCCGGAATCGCTTAACAACTATGTGATTCACTTAAGAACTGCAGCAATTCACTTAACAACAGTAGCAAAAAAAAAGGTTGTAACGTTAGGCGTGACTCATTTAACAATCTCCTTGCTTAGCAACAGAAATGCTGGTCCCGATGATGGTCATAAATTGAGGTCTAGCTGCGCGTTCAAGGGGTAAACAGATTGAGTTGATTTTATGAAGCTTCTGTGGTTTGGTAAGATATAATCTTTTGAAACATTGGTGAGGAACATCTGGATTGTGATTGCTGATTGCGTAACCCCCCAGGCAAAAAAGAATGTTTGCGATAGATAAATCACCAAAGAACTCCACGTCCACTAATTAGCTTGATTACAGGTTAAATAGGTTAAACTGCTTCTGTGAAAAAGCCCATGTCTGAAGTAGTAGATAATCTGAGCCTAATATTACAAAGGATTGGATACCATTTCAGTGTTTTTTTCACTTTCCTCCATCCAGTTATAGAGGAACTGGAATTTTTACTACTGGTAGGTGGAATGTTTCTCTATCAATGTTGGAAGACTTGAAAGACCAGATTATTCTGCAGTAAATCTATCCATTTTGTCACCGAGAGGAAGCATCAACTTGGTGGCCCATAAGGGTAATTTTTAAAAGATCAATGTTTCTCTACATGGTACATAGTATGTTTTAATTGGCTTTCAAGAAAATATCTCTTCAGAATGGCATCTTCTATTAAGGTAAATTGCTGACCCACTGCTTTCCCGATGGTCTGATACCAGTTTTAAGTATTCATATAAAGTCTAGATCATTGTATAATCCAAAACATATTTTATTTATTTTTATTTTTAGTTGATTTATATGCTGCCCTTCTCCGGAGACTCAGGGCGGCTTACAATGCATTAAGCAATAACCTTCATACTTTTGTATATTTATATTTTGTATATTTATAGTTTTAAGTCTAATTTTCCCATCTGTACAAATTCTAACTATACTTTTTTATTATTTAATAAACAAACAGCCTAGAGCAGGGGTCTGTAAACTTAAACACTCAAAGAGCCATTTGGACCCATTTCCCACAGAAAAGAAAATACCAGGAGCCACAAAACCCTTCCCGTGCCTGACTATTTCTTGAGCAGCCACAAACTAGCATATGTAGTTGAATTAAACGTTGTGTTTTCTTCTGAAACTTTCCTTTTCTTGGATTTATCCATGGTTGGCCGACCGGGGGGTTGAAAAACTCAATAAATCGTGTGCTGGCGGGTGTTGCACATTGGTGGTGGTGACACATATTTTGTGTGACAGGGAGCCGCAGCAGAGGGGTGAAAGAGCCACATGCAGCTCCAGAGCCACAGGTTGCTGACCCCTGGCCTAGAGGATGGTAATTACCTGATGGTAATGCTTTTGAATGTGGAGTTTTATTATTTTTATTGGCCATCAAAAAACAGAAGCTGAAATCCCATAGAGATCAACCAAGAAGCAGATCCCAAAGAAGTAATCCTAACACTGCTTGAGCAGGGAGCTGGATTAGAAGACCTCCAAGATCCCTATTCTATTCTAAATGTATGAGGTGGAAATGAGGTTGCAACACAATTTAATTTTTTATTTTAGTGCCTTAATTTTTGATTTGCGGTAATGCCAGGACAAATTCCTGCACTTTTCCTGTTAATAGTTTTGTTACTAGTTTGCCCTTGCTTTCTTTATAGGGCTTATGGAAAGACTGGCTCAAGATCACCCATCTGGCATCATCCCTAAGACAAGACTAGATCTCATGATTTCCTAGTTTCTGACCCTGATGCTTTAACCACTACACCAAACTGACTTACTGGGAACAAAATTTACATTTTTAGAATTTTTCCTACTTGAAATAAAATTTGAAGTCTTATCAAACTCTTTTGAGGCTTCTATCCTTGTAAGCATGCATAACATTAGGCTTCCATTTATCCACTACAGCAGAGGTGTCAAACCAGGGGTGAAATCCAGTAGGTTCTGACAGGTTCTGGAGAACCGGTAGCGGAAATTTTGAGCAGTTCAGAGAACCGGTAGCAGAAATTTTGAGTAGTTCGGAGAACCAGCAAATATCACCTCTGGCTGGCCCCAGAGTGGGGAGGGAATGGGGATTTTGCAGTATCCTTCCCCTGGAGTGGGGTGGGAATGGAGATTTTGCAGTATTCTTCCCCTGGAGTGGGATGGAAATGGAGATTTTGCAGTATGCTTCCCCTGCCACGCCCACCAAGCCACGCCACGCCCACCAAGCCACGCCCACAGAACTGGTAGTAAAAAAAATTGGATTTCACCACTGTGTCAAACTTACGTTGTCACAGCGGCGTCATGTGACGTACCGGGACTTTAGCTAAACAGGGTGTGGGGATGGCCGGTGCATGGTGCACCTGGCCCATGGGCTGGGAGTTTGACTGTACTACGGTATTTTACACTACCGTACTTTACAATCCCATCCTATTGCTAATTTTACAACAACTTGATCAGATACCAAATAAGGTCGTTTGAAAAGCTTCTTTTCCCCATATCTTCAGGTTTAGCTATTATACAATTACTAAAGATTTGACTTTGCCAGGCACACTGACCCCTGGGTCTATTTAATTAATTTCCTGGATTCCTTCATGCCTCTTCTGTTTAACTATAATCTCTGAACCCCTCAAGTCAATCTTGATCCTTGAAGATTTCATGGAAACGCCTGTGTGCTTTTTCTCAGCACATTAAGGAAATTGCTTACATTGCTTTCTACAGGCATCCTTTTGTTTATTTTGAACTCTGAAGCAGGGGTGAAATCCAGCAGGTTCTGACAGGTTCTGGAGAATCCGGAAGCGGAAATTTTGAGCAGTTCGGAGAACCGGTAGCGGAAATTTTGAGCAGTTCGGAAAACTGGTAGCGGAAATTTTGAGTAGTTTGGAGAACTGGCAAATACCACCTCTGGCTGGCTCCAGAGTAGGGTGGGAATGGAGATTTTGCAATATCCTTCCCCCAGGAGTGAGGAGGGAATGGGGATTTTGCAGTATCCTTCCCCCAGGAGTGAGGAGGGAATGGGGATTTTGCAGTATCCTTCCCCCAGGAGTGAGGAGGGAGTGGGGATTTTGCAGTATCCTTCCCTTGGAGTGGAGTTGGAATGGAGATTTTGCAGTACTTTTCCCTTGCCACGCCCACCAAGCCACGCCCACAGAACCGTAGCAAAAAAAATTTGGATTTCACCCCTGCTCTGAAGTCTATTGCCCTGTGATTTCAAGGTGGTCTCCCATCCAACGCCCAATCGCACCTGATCTTGCTTGGCAGAGTCTGCTAAGTGTTTACTTCCAGCTTCTCAAATTTTGAAACGTTGGAGGAACATGCATCAAATAAACCTTTGGGATCGCTTTAACCACCAAGCTTAAAATCCCTCGTCCTGGAGTGATCCATTTACTGGCTTTACCGCATGGCGCTGCTGCAGCTTCCTCCTCCACCAATCAGCACCGACCTTCCAACAGAGCTTGCCGGAGAGCGTTTGATTTATTAGGTCATCGGTTTCCGCCCCTTCATCTGTGTAATGCTCTTCCCCATAAGAGGTAGGGCCGCCGTGTCCCATGAGTGACAGCTCGCTGCTTCAATCAGAGGGCGAATCCGGGAGGCGAGACTAACTCTTCCCCTTCTTTAGCACTCTGCTTGAAGCTGCTAGGAACTATTAGCCGCAGCCTTTGCAGTTTGGCGGGGCTGTATTTCTGGATTTTGCAGACCAAGCTGTGCGGTGTAAAGGTGAATAATTCTTTTTCCTCCTCCTCCTTAAAAAAGGTTTCTTTTTTGCACGCCTGTTTTAATTAAACCGCAGCTGGGAGAGAGGAGAGAATTGCATCGATAGCTTCCCTTTGAAGTGCATCTTTATTTTCGGTCCAATGGGTTCTGTTTCTTTTGCTGTTGTTGTTGTTTTTTGGGGTGTGTGTGTATGTGTGTGTCCTGGAATTAGATCTCGGAGAATTGCACGCAAAATAGTAGGAGAGGAATCCCCTTACTCAGCTAACCTTGGGTGTCCCTAGAGTTAGGGAAGAGGAAGGCTGAACCTGGCTGCCCTGGAGAGAATTTGGTGTGTATGTCAGTCTAATTTTGGTTCTGCTATTTTAAAAAGTGTCAAACGCAGGGTTTACTTTTTTTTCCTTCCAGGCTGTGCATTGGAATTGGGAGAAGCCTTTAAAAAAGCAAATCAGAGCGGTAAGATATTACTACGGTCATGATTTGAGAATTCTTGGACGTAAGGATACCTGTGTTATTTCAGTAACCTTAAAGATACCAATTATCCCTTGCTTCTGCTTTTTAAATCGGTCATTTTTTTGCCTTCGTCTCAAGCTTGATATTAATTTTGTTTTATATATTGTTGAGCACTATGTAGGCTCAAGGCAAATTCCCTTGTTTTTTTCAGGTGGCCCCCATCTAACGACTAGCCACAATCCCACCCTATTTAGAATAGAAATAGAAATAGAAATAATAGAAATATTATTGAATTGAATTGAATTCTTTATTGGCCAAGTGTGATTGGACACACAAGGAATTTGTCTTGGTGTATACACTCTCGGAGTACATAAAAGAAAAGATATATTCGTCAAGAATCATAAGGTACAACACTTAATGATAGTCATAGGGAAACAGTCAATATAAATTTTGAGGATACCAGCAATAGTTTAGCTTTTGAATTGGCCAGGTGTTTGCACCTGTTCAGTGTGCAATGAATAATTGTATTAAAGTGTTTGCTAGTCTTGATTGTGCTGATCAAACAGCCATGTAACATACCAATTAAAACACAAATGGGGACATATTACCATCTCTGGTGGTCTTGCAGGAAGGCACAACGCTACTGGCAAGAGATTAAGAGAATAATTGAAGAAACAACGAGGCAAAGTGTAGAAATGAAACCAGAATTCTTTCTATTTGGAATGACGACACCACAGTGTACCAAGGAGATAAAATATCTTACCATCCACATATTGATAGCGGCACGTATAGTGTACGCTCAGAATTGGAAATCCGAGATAATACCAACAGAAGAAAAAATAATAACAAAAATAAATGAATGCGCAGAGATGGATAGGCTCACAAAAGAGCTCCAAGATAAAGAGAACACTGACTTTTATTTAGTTTGGCAAAAATGGTACACATGGTTAGAAAGAAAGATAGGGCCAACAACATAGGACATTAGGAGAACATAACTCAAGAATTGTAGAAATAGATACATGAGATGAGCCGTAGGATTGTATAAATAAATGGTTAATATGATTGTAGAAAGATACTGCTGAACTTCAATGAATGTATTAAGGTATAAGCAAGTGAATTTGTAAATAGTATGATTAAGGAAAATTGGTTAAATGGACATTAATCACCGATGCGAAGGTTTTCTAGAAGTTAGTCGATTGACTCTTTGTTAATGTATAAGTGTTTACATGTATTTGTGTTTTACGTTTGTTTATGTTAATAAAATTTAATTAAAAAAAAGTATTTTCTGTAGCATATGAATATGTCCTACATTTGTTTGCTTCTCAGATGTAGGAGTTTTATGTTAAAATGAAGGAATGCATACTGGTTAGAATATATCAAAAGTCCTGGTTTATGTGCCATCTTTTCCCAATTTGCTCTCCACTGATGCATTCTCTAATTCTGGAGGATGCTAAAAATGCAATGTATTTGGAGAATGCCAGGTTGGGAATGCCTTTGAACCCATGATTTTGTTGTTGTTAGTTGTGAAGTCGTGTCCGACCCATAGCGACCTCATGGACAACGTTCCTCCAGGCTATCCTGTCCTCTACCTTGAACCCATGATATTATATATTTAATTCTGATTTAATATTGTGCAAAGTCAGTCCATGTAGTTTGTGGTTTAGTGGTCTGTATAAATCAAGAGTTGCTTGCTTAGCCCATGGGTAAGTATACTAGTAATTACAGTAGCATAATGCATGAATATTGTTACTGAATTCAATGGGATGTTCTAGAAATAAATATATTTATGCAAAATTCAAAGCACAGCATTAATGCATATCTGCAAAGAAGAATGTTGAAATGGTATTGGTTTTTGAATCCATTTTGTCTGTGCCATACAGGTATAGTCAACTTAAAACCATTTGTTTAGTGACTGTTCAAAGTTACTACAACCAGTACTCCCACTTACGACCATCATAGCAGCCCCATGGTCACATAATCAGCATATATTTACATTAGTTGCAGTGTCCTAGGGTCATGTGATCACTCTTTGTGACTGTCCAAACTGGCTTCCAACAAGCAAAGTCTATGGGAGGAAGCCGGATTTGCTTAATAATGGCATGATTGACTTAACAATCACAGTGATTTGCTTAAAAACCATGAGAAAAAGAGTTATAAAATCAGGCGCAACACACCTAACGTCATTGCTTATTAAGAGAAATTCTATCCCCAATTGTGGTTGTAAGTCAAGGACAAGTTGTATACAGTACAAATACTCTGTATTTTTCAGTAATAAGCTTCGACAAGTTTTAAATCGTATCTGGCTTTAAGTGTCTGGTTAGGACGAAGATGAAAATATATACCTCAAAAATAAGATAAGTCAGGAATGTCTCTTAGTCTCTCACCACAAATATGCATGTAGTTGGGGAAAACCTAACCATGTTCTCCACAGGAAAGTTAAAATTTCTTTGTTAGCAATGTCAGTATGGGTAAAAACTTTTAGTTGTCCTTCCTGTACCTTGCATAAATAACTATTTCAGTAGGAATAGCATCCTTTCATATGCGCTGTCTCCGACGAATTCTTGGCATCACTTGGCAGGACAAAGTTCCAAATAGCGTAGTCTTGGAACGTGCTGGAATTTCTAGCATGTATACACTATTGAAACAGCGATGTCTACGCTGGCTGGGGCATGTCGTGAGAATGGCTGATGGTCGGATTCCGAAAGATCTCCTGTATGGAGAATTCCTGCAGGGAAAGCGCCTCAGAGGGAGACCACAGCTGCGATATAAGGATATCTGCAAGAGGGACCTAAAGGCCCTGGGAATGGACATTAACAACTGGGAAACCTTGATCTCCGATCGTTCAGCTTGGAGGATAAAGACGCAGCATGGCCTTCTCCAATTTGAAGAGACACTTGTTCGGCAGGCTGAGGCAAAGAGGCAGTCCCGGAACCAGCAAAATCTGGGGGCTGGGCAGGGGACAGAATGTATCTGCCCTCAGTGTGGAAGGGATTGCCACTCTCGAATTGGCCTTTTTAGTCACACAAGATGCTGTTTTAGGACCTCTTTCCAGCGCACGATACCATAGTCTCTTGAGACTGAAGGATGCCAATGAGGAATAGCAGCTATTTGTGTCTTCATCACAAAAGGAACATAGATTAATAGGGGTGGAAGGGACCTTGAAGGTCTTCTAGTCCAAGTCCCTACTCAAAGCAGACTTTATACCATCCTGGTCAAATGGTTGGAAATGACTTATTTTAAAAAAAAAACCCAATTAAAAGTGTGAGACTTTGGAAGCTGCAACATAGGCGTTTCAAATTTCATTACTGTGTCCCTGATGGCAATTCTGACTGTGGCAAATGGGAATTGTAGTTTAAAACATTTTGAAAAGCCCTGGTTGGCATAACATTTTAAGAGTTCAGGGATTAGGATGGTGAGAGAGAGGCAAATCCTATTTAAGCCATGGAGTTTGATGTTGCACTAGGCGCCATTTTACTACACTGGGTGTTTCCTTAATTGTGATTTATTGCATGTCAACCAATCATGGTTGGCAAACTCAAAATGGCTGATTGGGTCAAATCATATGATATATAACTTAGTTTGTTTTTCACAATTGTATCATGTAGAGGTTGGAGTTTTTATCCAGCTCAAAGCAAGAGCTTTTGTGAAATAAAGCAAAGCTGTCAATAGCATTGTACTAAAAATAACATTGAAAAGAAAGGTGGTGTATATTTGATCAAAGGAAAGTCGGCTAACTCTTAGGTGATTTTTCAGTGTATAATACCTTTCCAGTGGGTATCATTGATAGCATGACAATCTAGGCCTGTATTGATAGGAGATATGAGTCACTGTCACCAGATTTTTCTGGCCTACACTAAGTCTCTATCAGCTATTTGAGGCAAAGTTATTCTAATCAGTTTATATTTTTCCAGTGCACAATCTGTTTGTAGAACCATCATTGGAAGAATACTGAAAGTATTTATTACAGCTAAAACTAAAGTGATATTTATTCTTTATGAGACATTTCAGACAGAAAAAATGCTCCCACTCTTTAAATTCACAAGGCGATCACATATTCACAAATGCTTTGGGCTTATATACACACAAACAAACATTCAGAACACACAGTATTTTTTGACTGAGGTTTTTATAAATGCTGAATCTTGAATTATTTTTTGTCTGATGATGCTACATGCATACTGTACGTTTGCAAAACCCTATTTTTCCTATGATTGTTTTGTAGCTATGGTCTGCACAATCGTGAGATAGTGTGAAAGATTTGTAGTTACGGGTTAAATTTATATCCCTATACTTTTCAAAACATCATTTGGGCTTCAAATGAAAAGCACTATGTAGCTGTGATAATTACTGAGCAATTGTGCTAATCCATTGGTCTGACATTTCCTTTTATCCATTTTTCATTTGCTTTAGATTTCCCTCTGTATTCACTTATGATCTCCTTTAAATTTCGGATCTGTTTTAATAATGGATTTTACTCTTCATCCCTCAACTACAGGTAGTCCTTGACTTACAACAATTCGTTTAGTGACCATTTGAAATTATAACGGCATTGAAAAAAGTGACATGCTTATTTTTCACACTTATGACTGTTGCAATATCCCCATGGTCACATGATCAAAATTTGGCCGTTTGACAACTGACTCATATTTATGACGGTTGTAGTGTCCTGGGGTCATGTGATCATCTTTGCAGCCTTCTGACAAGCAAAGACAATGGGGAAGCCAGATTCACTTAACAACAGTGTTAACTGTTGCAGTTAACAACTGCAGTGATTCACCTAACTATGACAAAAAAGGTTGTAAAACAGGGCAAAACTCACTTAACAAATGTCTCACTTAGCAACAGAAATTTTGGGCTCAATTGTGGTCGTAAGTTGAAGACTACCTGTACGTAATTTTTCTAGTCATTGTTTTCAGCAAATTTTGCTTCTGGTGTTCTTTAATATTCCAGCATATTTAAACATCTTGGTCCAGACATTATAGCACACTTATGGTAGCTAGTGA